ACACAAGAGGTAGTGTCCTCAGGTACCAATTGGCCGTGTCCCAGAAGCTCCTGTCTATTTGTAACTTTCAAATACCATGGGCCATAAGGCCCGCCTGGCTAACTAGTAGCCCCTATTGTATGGGGGCTAATGGGTGAATGCAACAACAAAATACTTGGGACAACAAAGGAAAAAAAGGATAGGAGTGACATGAGGGTCAAAGGGTCAAAACATGAAAATGAGTATACTTGACAGGGACACCACCGGGCTGCACCCACCAGTCCTCAAAGGCATCCAAGGAGCTGGCGGGCGCTGCCACTGGTGCTCTGCCTGGAAATGTTCATGGACAAGTGAGAGGAAAGTGGCCCTGCAGTCTCTGGGCACCTTTCCAGCCGGAGTCTCCTTCCTGGTCAAGTACAGGGCTCACTCGACCAGGGCCAGGAGGGGGCTGACCAGGAGATCCCAGGACTTGGTGGGGCTGTGGATAAGGTGACCAGAACTAAAAGGTGGCAGGTGAAATTCAAGCAGAACCTCAGGAGGAGGTTCTGCAGGTGGAGGTGGAGGGGCTGCAACATGGCACACTCGGGGGTCATGTGCACCAGGGTCTCCCTCTGCCCGCAGAAGGGGCAGGAGACCAGGGTATATGTGAAGCTCACCACATACACACCTGTGGCGATGATTCCATGGAGGAGCCGCCAGCTGAGGTCCCTAGTGGCTCATGGGGTGAGGGTGGAGTACAGACTCAGCCACTGGGGTGCCCCAGCCACACTTGCTGAGCAGGTCCTGCCACTTGGTGTCTGGATAGGATGGCGGCATGATGGATCGTGTGCCACACGAGCGTATAGAAGTGGCAGTGATGGGTGGTGGAAAAGCAGACCAGCCTGGTGTCCTCCAGCCAGCTTAGGTGGTGGGGCGGGGAGTGCCACGAAGCCGGGTGAGGCCCCACAGCAAACTCTGGTGTGCTGGAGGACACGGGCGGGGACCACCACCGTGCAGGACCTGGTTAACAAGGGCAAGGGCATCGGGAGGTAGGGCAGATTTCATCTCCTGGACCCCCCCAAAGCTCCTGACTATTTGTATCATCCAATTGTCGTGGGCTCTGAGGCCCACGCGGCTAACTAATAGCGCCTAATGTATGGGGCCAATGGATGGATGATGCAACAAAATACTTGGGACAACTAATGAAAAAAACGAGTATAGGAGTGTCATGCGAGTCAAGGGGTCAAAACGTGAAAATAAGTGCGCCTGAGGGGGACACCAAGCAGAGCCCCCTGGGCTGCACCCACCGGTCCTGAATTTCATAGATTTCATAGACATTAGGAACTGGAAGGGACCTCATAAGATGCTTGGGTCCAGCCCCCCCTGCTGTAGGCGGGAAGTCAGCTGGGATCAAGTGACCCCAGCAAAAAATAAATCCAGCAGTTTTTTGGAGGAGTCTAGAGTAGGTGCTTGCACCACCTGTGCGGGGAGTTTGTTCCAGACCTTGGACACGTGCACTGTAAAGAACTTTTTTCTTATGTCTAGTCTAAATCGGCCTTCCTGGAGTTTATGGCCGTTAGACCTTATTATCCCTTGGGGAGCTCTGGTGAACAGGTGTTCTCCCAGGTTCTGATGTACTTCTCTTATGAAGTTGTAGGCTGCCACCAGGTCCCCCCTGAGCCTTCTGTTCTCCAGACTGAAGAGTCCCAAGTCCCTCAGCCTCTCCTTGTATGGCCTTTCCTCCAGGCTTTGGATCATACCAGTGGCTCTCCTCTGGATTCTCTCAAGCTTTTCCATATCCTTCCTGAAGTGGGGGGCCCAGTACTGGACGCAGTACTCCAGTTGTGGTCTCACCAGGGCCGAGTAAAGTGGGAGGACTTAATCAGTGATTGTGTTGCACTTATCACTGGCTCCTTCAAATTAATTAATGCGGTATCTCGCATTCCGAACCTCGTTCAGTATTACGGGCTGTGTCAGCAAAATACCTGGAATTAACAGTTTCATTGTGTAATAGTGTGTAAATCACAATGTTCTTGTGGGGGCAGGAATATAAATACAAAATTGTGATTATATCTGATAAGAGTACCATTTGCTAGTTAATAGTTAGCTTTGAGAATATTCAGTGAGGAAGTCCCACAGCAATACAGTTGGAGCACTCACAGGATCATAGGAAAGAAGGGCTGGAAAAGACCTCTTGAGGTCATCTAATCCAGCCCCCTGATCAAGGGAGAATCATCCTTGACTAAACCACCCCATTCAAGCATCTATCTAACCCGCTCTTGAAAATTTCCAAGGAGGAAGATTCCACAGTTCTTCTAGGTAGCCTGTTTCAATGCCTGACCACTCATAATCAGTGTTCTTCCTAACCTCCAGCCTAAATTTCCCCTCCTGCAACTTGGTTATGGCTCCTAGTCCTGTCTGCTAGAACCACAGAGAAAAATGCGCTTCCATCCTCTCTAATTGCTTTCCAGGTATTTGAAGAAATCCTTCCTCAATCTTCTCTTCTGCAGACTAAATTACCCTAGTTCTTTTGCCTTTCCTCATACGTCTTGCCTTCCAGACCCCTAATCATTTTTGTTGCTCTGCACTGAACTCTTTCCAAACTATCCACATAATTCTTGAAGTGTGAAGCACAAAACCGGACACACTAATTCAGGTGAGGTCTAACCAGTGCTCAGTTGAGCAGAAGACTCACTTTCTTTGATTTGCAAATGACACTCCTGTTGATGCATCCCAGTATGCTGTTGGCTTTTTTTCTTTGCAACAAGAGCACACTTTTGGCTTACATTCAGATTATGGTCTACTGTAACCCCCAAGTCCTTTTTTGCAGTACTACAGCCTAGCCATTCGCTCCCAAGTCTGTATTTATGAATGCAATTATTCCGTTCTAAGTGCAGGATTTTACACTTGTCCTTGTTGAATCTCATCTGATTGATTATGGACCATTTCTTCAACCTATTCAGATCATTATGGATTGTAACCCTTCTCCCTGGAGTATATGATGCAGCAGGGGTAGGCAAAGTTTTTGGCCAGAGCGCCGAAACCCCTCACAGTGCCTACCTTGGAAGGTGCTGGAGTGCCAGCATGCCAGAAAAAGAAAATGAGGGCAGGGAGTACATGGCAGGATGCCCTTCTTGTGCCCCTGTCCCCCAGCCCAGGCTCTGTAGCTGTCAGCAGCTACCCAGGACCTAGGCCAGCTGCAAACGTCTGCTGCCTCTCCACCCCAGACCCTGACTGTGCCTGCTCAGGACAGCCCAGCGTAGGCCAGCCTCAGCTGCCTTCCAGCCCCAGACCTGGCCCTGGGCTCCGGAGAGGCAGCACATACTGGTAATGCTCCCTGCTGTGCTGCCCTCGCCACTTCTGCAAAGCAGCGTTGGAACCTGGCACAGCAAGGTATGGCGTGGGGTGCAAAAAGCTACCTGCTTCCAGCTCCCTGCTGCTCTGCCACACCTCCTGTGTGCACAGGAGCAGCATGGGCAGCAGTGCAGGGTTGTGCCCCCTCTTGCTGCTGCCCCCACCTGCATGGGGGACAATGTGGCTGCACCAGCACCAGAAACTCAGGTAAGGCAGGGGGGAGGAAGGAGCATGGTGAAAAGCAGCCCCTCCCCCGCCCCGTGGCTGGCACTCCCTGCTGCAGCCACTCGCAACCCGCGTGGGGCTGTCCTGAGCAGGCACAGGCAGCCCCAACGTGGGCTGCAAGTGGCTGCAGCGCAGGGCCCTGGTCACAGGGTGGGCGAGGGGCCGCTTTTTCCGCACTCAGCACCAGCTTGTAACCTGCCCCCATTACCAGCGTGGGCCCCGCACCGGCTCTGGGCTCACCCGTTGGGGCTGTGCACAGCAGCAGCAGCTGTGGTACCCCCACTTGCTGCACCAGGCAGTGTTTGCCACCGCTGCCTCTGTGCTGCCCAGCACACGAGCTCCAGGCGGGCAGCAGCAGCAAACACTGCATGGCGCGGCAAGCAGGGGGGACCGCAGCTGCTGCCACCGCAGCGCAGTCCCAAAGAGTGAGCCTGGAGCTGGCACGGGGCCTAGGCCAGCAGCAGGGGTGGGTTACAAGCTGGTGCTGGGCGTGGGAAAAGCAACTCCTTACCCGCCCTGTGCCTGGTGCCCCATGCTGCAGCCACTCGCAGCCTGCATGGGGCTGCCTGTGCCTGCTCACTTTTCCCTGGACTCCTTCCCTGTCCCCTCCTCCCTGCTTACCTGAGTTTCTGGTGCCAGTGCAGCCACATGGTCCCAGGCCACAAGCCCCTGCTGGGGCTCCCAGCTGTGGGGGTGGGGCTGGGCGGGCCTTGCTGTTGTGGGAGCCCACCGGGCTTCCCCTGGGTCCTATTGCCCCTGGTTCCTGTAATTTGTTACAGGAACTAAAGATAGATAAATATTAATTTTCTACATTTTTTTAGGGGCTGCACAGGCCGGATAGAGTGGCCTCGTGGGCTGAATTCAGCCCGCGGGCCATATTTTGCCCACCCCTGAGCTACCCAGAGTTGGGGCCAGCTGCAGCCAGGAGGCTGCAAACAGCTGCTGCCTCCCCGGCCCCAACGCGTGCTAAGGAAAATGGCCTTGTGTGCCATGCTCAGCACACGTGCCGGAGGTTGCCGACCCCTGTGATACAGCATCCAACTAGGTGTCATCTGCAAATTTTCCAGGTGTGTTGTTGAAGCTGTGATGATCCAGGAAATGTTTGGCAGGGTTTCAGAAGCAGGATCTGAAGAAGAGTGCTTTGTGCTCGAAAGCCTTTCAGATTTCTTTCCCAAATATACATTTGGTCCAATAAAAGATGTCACTAAAAAACCCTTGCCTCTGCAATATACCATTGTGTTGTATTGTTGTACATGGAAGAGAATATGCTGCAGGGAAAAAAAGTTGGGATGAAGGGATAACATTACAGAAGCTTTATAAAAAAAACCCAAACTTGGCAACTGATATGCTGTTAAATCAATAATAAACTGTATATTTATTTAGTCCTACCTGTAAATGAGGGAATGGTAATATGTGACTATAAGACCATTACTCAAGGTCTCCCTTTGTCTTTTGACATTCAGGTATATGTCTCGAGTCCACGGCATGCATCCAAAAGAGACCACACGTCAACTGAGCTTAGCCGTCAAAGATGGTCTTATTGTTGAAACCCTGACTGTGGGGTGTAAGGGATCAAAAGCTGGTATTGAACAAGAAGGATATTGGTTGCCAGGAGATGAGATTGTGAGTATAATATGTATCAGAAATTAAATTTTCTACAATGTTGAAATGGAGCCTGTTTGCATTTCTATTAAGTTATTTATAGATGCTCTATTGGTGCTGTGTATGAGCAGTGAAATAATGTTTCACAAGCTTAGTTTTACTATTCAGATATTTCACTGAAAAGCTTTTATTTAAAGTCCTCCTTATTCAGTAGAAATTCTTTCTTGTGGAGCTCTGCCTCTGCTATCATAAAATTCTGCCAATGGCCTTATAAAATGTTACTCAGTCACTACACACCCTTATTTAGCTTCACTTCTCCCGTGATCCTATGTGGAGACATTCATTGTAATGTTACTGGTATCACTTGGTCTCGTCTGACATCTTCAAATATCCAGAGAGATCCTTAAAGCAATACATCTCTTTAATAAGATTTTTTTTAAAGGGAGAGTTGATTGATGGTGTTTTACTCTGAATCTAAGGGAGAAAAAATGAGTCCCTCTAGTCCCTTTCAAGGAAAAGTTTTATTATATGTGTGTGCGCATACATACACATACACACACATCTATATATGTATGTGTATATAGGTGTATATGAATAACACAACAAGAGCTGTGTTTTCCCAGATGTTTAGAAGAAATCTGGCAGCCTATCAAGAACATTTTTAGCAAATTAGCTCTAGGCCTCCAAAAATTGCTTCAACAAACATATAAAGTGTATATTTAAATCCAATTAAATATGTTCAAAGCTACGTGAAGGCATTAAAATCATGTGTCCTCCATCCTTGTGTATGTGAAATGGAACACACTCAATGTCTGCTAACAGTGGTCCCTCTGAACTATTCCCATCCCAAACACTGCATTATTTTTGCAGTGAATGACAGTCTGAAAGTGAAACAGAGTAGGCTATTGTTTAAGATGGTAGAAATGCAAAATTTAATAGTATGAATAATGGAAAGTATTACACTTAAAATTATGCTATTTACGCTAACCTAAATTATGCTAACCCAAGTTTAATGCACTTTGTCACTGTTAAGGTGCTCTCTTTAATCTCATTAAACACTCTCAGGCTGGATTTTAAAGTACATATAAAACTTATTTTTGCTATTCCATTGCTAGGGGAAAAAAATAAAAAGCCTCACAAGTCTTAACATGTCATTTAAACAATGCTCACATTTCCCTTATTCCAGTAGCAACAGCTAACAGAAACTAGGTGCAGTCTTACACAGCCCCTTATGTGCAAGCTCATAACAAGTCAGTGGTGTTTCATTCTCAGGCAGAGTCTTCATTGCATAGTGAATTCATAATATGTACACTCCAGGGAACTCTTCATGAGCCTAACTCAAGTGAGAGTGGCCACAGTACAGTATAATGTAGCCTCTGAAGAGTTAGGCTTTGGGCTGTAACCTACACAATTCAGGTTAAAAGCACAACTGTGCCCTTCCAGTTCAGTGTTTTATGTATGAATAGGACTTGAGTTAACTTTACAGTGAGGACAAGCCCAGAGAAATCATGATGGGAATATGCTGGTGCAAAAAGGAATGGTGTCATCATGAAGCAGAGTGTAAATGTTGGAGGAATAGTAAGCAAATAGCCAGGTAGCTATGTTGATTTCAGCACCATTCAGAACTGAGTCAGTAAAATGTGTTTTGGACAAACAGAATTTAAAAGCAGATCCTGTGTGTGGCTTGACCACTCAGTTCGGCTGACATCACTAGGAACTGGCTTTGCTCAGCAGATGCCAGTATTATGTTTTAGAACCTGATCCAAAACCTATCAAAGTCATGGGAAGACTCTTAACAAATTCAGTAGGCTTTGTAGGCACTTGGAATTGGTGATGAAAATTATTTTGTTGAGTTAACAAAGAAACTCATTGTCATACTGAAATAATTTGAGAAATCCTTTTAAATTTTAGAGGATTTAGGCCTAACGCCATCTTATAGTACATAAGTAAGCTGAGAGTCAGAGGTGCTGAGTATCTATGCCAACTCATCTACTTGCCTAAGTATGAATAAGCTGTCTAACTGGCGGCAGCCAAAATGTTTGAACATGTTGGTCTTCTTACATAATGTGGACTGATCGCTTTTAATAATAATTTTTAATAAAACAATTTATAAAGTAGCTGCTGTACATGGAAAATAATTATTGTTTGATAACCTGTGATATTAGTTGTCTGTGTGCGCAAAAATAAATTACTCTCTCCAGGAGACTTACATAGTGAACCATAATAAAGACGCTTTTAATAATGTCATATTATCTGAACAGTTAAAATTCTGTCGTATGCTTCAAAGTTCTGTCACAGGCTAATGTTCCACACCTTTAGGGTGAAGTGTGAAGTTCTGTGAAACTATATTAAGATTAGTCTTTAAGCAGATTTCAGTGCATTTAGAAACACTATTAGGCACTGTTAGAAGCTGCCAAGGTACAGGAGCCTGACACACCATGGGAAGGCTTTTTTCTTTAGTGGTAACTTTTTATGGTAATATCTAAAAAAGAAAATAGCCTGATAAAATGACAAAAACAAGAAAAAGTATAATTATAAAGATTTCTGAATAAAACTTCCAGTATAAAAGTGAAGCATGTTCACTTTTCTCCAATATTTTTATTACTAACAAACTTAAATTCCAAATTGATAAGAAAATATATTCAGTGGAGCACGTTTGTAAAGGTGGAGTCCTACGAAAAATATTCTTGCAAAAGCAGTAATTGTGTTTGTAATGCCTCCGTTTGTCCAGTTTCCAGTTTGTTCACTTGGGTGGCAAATGTTGTAAGCACTAGGCAGTTATCAGTTTTTCAAAATGCATTCTCATATTACAGATATATGCAAATGCTTTTAAGCAAAATGATTGAAGATCGTTTTCTCTTTTAGTTATTTGCCAGGAATTTAGTTTCAAACAATGTCTCTCATGCTACAGTCAGGATCATTAAAACCTAAGTCAGTGTAGTCAATGTAACTCCTTGCCTTGTTTTAGGCACTAATATTGTCCTCACCTTTTACAAAAGAAATTTGACCCTTAACCTCAGGTAACAATAATTTACTGGGCATCTCTGAGGCTTCATTTTGACTCTTTGCACAGCTTGCAGTGTCCGGGAAGCAAACCCGTAAATTCGTTTTAGTCCTAGACACAACAGGCTGAGTTAGGATTAGAGTGGTAAGATGCTAAATAGGTGTTATAAGGTTTGCACCTCTGTCTAATTCATAGCAGTGACTTGAATTTAGATGGGAACCTACCTGATATAGCCACTACCACCTCTCCTTCCATAGGCCCCTTATTAATCTAGGTCCTTATTTCCAACTATCCTTTGCTTTTATTTAGAAAATGCCCCAAACAAAACTCTTTTGGCACCAAAGAAATCCATTTCAGGTCTACCACAAATTAAATGATTTAATAATATTTTTGGTTCGGTGGCCAAACCAGAATTAATTATTTAGAATTATTTTTAATTATTTTTAACAAAGCCAGATTTTCTTGTGTGGGGATTTATGAACCATTTTGGCACTGATTTAAATCCTTAAAAAGGATTCTAATGTTTCAGGTATTGTAGCATTTCCCAAACTTTTAATATCAGGGGCACAATTTTTTTTCTGGGTTAAAATTGGTCATACACTTCACTCTTACACTTGAAAAGATGTGCATGTGTGCCTGGATGTGTGTGTGTGTGTGTGTGTGCATGCATGCATTTCAAAGATATTCCATTCCCCTGCCAGGAAATCATACCAGTGCTGAGGTGTAGTGTTCACAAAATGATACCAAATACATCTTTAAGCAAAGGATTAGTCCCTGTACCAATGGGCACATCTGCTGCAGAACTGACTAATTAGCTCCACAGTAAAACATCACCATCTAGAAGTACAGAGTATTAGGCCACAGTAAATTAATTAACTCTGCTGTAGGATACTGCTGGCAGACACAAGTACTATCCTATGGTGGAGCAATGTATGCCGCCTCAATTTACATGTACATGCTGACAGGGCTGGCTCGTGCCCTAGCCAGCCCCTCCCTAGCATATTGAACCAGGTCAGAGCAGACTCAGGCTAGCAGGCTGACTTCTGGGGCCCCCTGCCATCTGGAGTTGCTCCACCCTGGCTCACTGTGCTGCAGTCCCAGGTGCACATGCAAACGCGGTGCCTGGAAGCAATAAACTCTGGTGTGAACTGCATCAGAGTTTATTGCTTTACATTAGCAATCAGCACCTGTGGTAAAGGTGATACCTTATATTAGACCAACTAGATTTTTGCAAAAAAAAATTCTTCAATTGCAAGCTTTTGGGCACAAACACCCTTCATCAGGCATAGGAGAAAAGATTCAAAAGTTCTCCTGGGTAGAAATTGCTTTGCATTAATAGCATGTGTAGACGTGCCCAGTGGTTCTTAACCTTTTTAGCCTCTAGCTCCCCTTCTCCATAACTTTTCTGAATTCAGGGAACCCCAGTGGAAAATCACTGAAATTAGATAAGTGATTCCCAACTTTTTTAACCTCTAGGCCCCACCATATCTTTTCTAAATTTAGATCTATCTGGTGCCAATTAAGGGTGGAGGGGGCAGGACCTTACCCTGCTGTGCCTGGCCCTTTTCACTGTCCGTGTTCCCCACCAACCTCTAATCAAGGGCAGAGTATAAATGTTGGAGGAATAGTAAGCAAATAGCTCACAGCAGAGCATACTGCTGAGAGAGCTAGTGGGGCAGGGGGAGGTCTAACACAGGGGCTGCCTCGGAGGCAGAGAAGGACAAGGGAAGGCAGCAGCAGATACAGCCCCCAGAGGAGCAGCTGCAGGCACTGCTGGAGTAGCTGGGACAGGCACAGGGTACCAGACCAGGAAGGAAAGCATTAACCTCCTCATGTGGGGATCTCACAACATATTTCCCTCACTCTTTTGCAGCAAACCGTTTGAAAATCACTGAGTTAATGTAATAGAGAACATGGCTGGCAAGGAAGTTCTTGGCAAAAGAGGATTAATGAATGTTCTCAAATATCAGTTGTCAGTTAAACAATGAATTTTGTTTATTCATATCCTGAAAAGCTA